TTTGTAAGATATTCCAGGAAACAGGAGCAGAGTAGGAGAAGGCCCTTATTATGAGCCTCATACCTTTTGCCTAGTTCCGTTCTCACTGAGGGAACACTGCAGGTAATAATGTCCTGAGAGTGCACGCTGTAGCTGCACTCACACAGAGACATGAAGGAGGAGATGTATGAAGGCAGCAGACCAAGAAGTGATTTAAAGATGAAAATGTACCAGTGAGAGAGTCTGCGTGAAGTTAATGGTGTCCAGTTAACCAGTGAATACAGGGTGCAGTGGTGGGTACGATAATCACAGCCAGTTATAATAATAATAATAATCATTATATTTAAAAAGTGCCTTTCAGGACACTTATTTATGTTATGTTATGAATCTTAAGTTATGAATCTTAGTGCACCGTGATAGACAGCATCCAACATCTGCAGGGTTCTTGTAGGAGCGTTCATGTAAATAATGTCACCGTAATCAACGGAGGGAAGGAAAGTCACAGATGCAAGGGGTTTCCTAGCATTCAGGGTTAGACAGGATCTGTTTCTGAAAAAGAAACCCAGTTTAACTTTCAGTTTCTTTACTAGGTTTTCCACATGGAGCTTAAAAGAGAGATGCGAGTCGACCAAGATACCCAAATATTTATAGGAATCAACAAACTCAATGGGGACACCATTTGAGGATGAAATCAGAGGAAGAACTGCTGGGACCAACTTCTTATTTGAAAAAAGCAATAACCACAGATTTCTGTTCAAGTGCAATGCAAAGTAATTGTGAAAAAGCTCATAAGACATATTTAACATAAAAGCTCCAGAATTTCAAAAGATGGTAGAAAATTGCTCATCAAGCCCGACAGAAAAAAAAGAAGGAAAAATTAAATCCAAATGGAAACTGTTCAACAGGTAAGAGTCTTATTTTTATACAGAACACCCACCTCAAAAGATCTTTAAACTATCCCTTTACGGTTCACTGAAGTTTACTTGCTGGTCCGAATGAAAGAAACAAAACACCCTAAAGTCCTCTGCATTGATTCTCCATGTACATCACCACACCATAATGTATTTACCTGCTAATAAACACCCTATTTTCTGCTCAATGAAAAGGCTCATCATTACAGTCCATATAAAGTTATTTATTACATCATGTAGTAAAATATCACAAATAACATGAATATACCTTTATAGATGTGATAAAATGACGAGGAAATTGATCATTTCTAGTTGATAACAGCAGAACTTGCCTCGCCTACACAAACGCAAACTGAGCAGCGTCATTTAAAGTCCAACGTTACACCTTTAGCTGTACATGCAGGTTCAATTCAGTGGTGTTGAGCAAGAATAAACAGCAAATGTGTCCATAGTTTACAGACAGAGTATTCATTAAAGTTTAACTGTATTTACTTGTTCTAAACAATGTGTCCACACGCTCCAGTTTGACTTGTTTTAAAAGCAAGTGAGTGCTGGATAATAAAATAACGTTTAAAGGAATTGATGTGTGAGCTAAATAGTACAGAGTAATGACCTGTGTGACTAACAAGTGGCCTAATAGATACATTAGGAGATCCAAATATATTATTATAATATATGTCTGTACAGATATATATCCTCTTACACACCTAACAGCTACACGTCAGACACAACTGTTCAACATCTGGAATATCTGAACTCATGCGAGGCGATTTGTTTGGTCTGCTAAAGGACAAAGATGGTTTGATTTCATGTCTTCAAAATAGAGACACCTCAGCTGGATTTGATTTAATCCATTCTCGCTGGGTTGGAGTAGATAGATTGAGCCTCAGTGAGATTATTGTGGTCATTGTAGAACAAAATTTGTCTCTGGTACTGCTCCATGTGAGGACTTAACACACTGGACGCTTCTCAGACTCGTCCAACTCTAATCAAGTCCAGAAATGGTCTCAAGTTTATTCACAAGAATCATTTGATTTATTAGGATGGCTTTATTTCTGCGGGAGAAGAGCTGCAGTCAGTCTGCAATCATTTTCTCATCTTACAGTGCAGATAATCTTTGGTTTCCTAACTCACAAGAGAAAATGATGTGTAGACAGGAGTTAAGTTTTAACCCAGCTTTTGATGCAATGCACACATAAAACTTCTTATACTGTAATAAAAATGGCCTTGTTATCGCACCAAGTCTGATTTCAATCATTTCTTGCATCACAAGATGTTAAGAATCCTTTATGTTGTTGTTCTTGTTGGTGTCTCTCGTGGTTTGACTTGTCTTACACAAGTTCAGTTTCTTTTGTCACTTCTTCCTACTCCTTCATCAGTCCAAGTGTTTGGCTTTGCTTTTATTCTCGTCGGCGTCTGGATCGCGGCACGTGCACTCGTCCTCGCTGCAGTCTGTCCCAAACTGAATGACCTGCCAGTAAACAATGTTCAAGTGTTAGCTTCAAACACTTACTACAGATCTGTACAGCCTGGTTCTAGAAAAAAAAAAAAAAATACAATGAGATTTTCTTTAAATATTAGATATTTTTTAGTAACCTTTTCTCTTTATGAGCAGGTGATGGTGAATGTGTGTGTGCTTTATTTGTTACCTTGTAGGGTTAGGTTTAGGTTTATTTGTCATATGCAGATAAGCACAAGGTCAACAATGCAATGAAACACTCAGGATGAAATGAACCGTCTCCACTCGCCAAAAAAACAATAAGAAATACCAAATCATGCAACAAAAATACAGAAACAAGGTGCCATGAGAGAAAAAAAAAACAGCAGCATGGTCCTATTAGCAGAGTGGTTCTGTTAGCAGTGAGGTTCTCTTAGCAGCATGGTACTGTTAGCAGCATGGTACTGTTAGCAGCATGGT